TTATGTTCTTATATTTTTCAGTTCAATTTTTTGACTATAATCACCAAAGAAACATAGAAACAGAACTAAACCTGTTAATAACAATCTCCTTAGTATGAAAATAATTTACCAATTTTTAATGATTATTTTGTTGAAAATTTTCATAGTTCTATCAGAAGTCATACTGTTGAATCAAGTAATGCATTGCAAATAATTCAAAAAGCAAAAATTATTGATGCTGAAAGAAATATTAATTCTTTTAAAGAATCCTTTATTAATTCAAGAAATCCAACTATTTCTGCACATGCACATACCTATTTAATAATTCACAGAGCAGTAACTGTGATGGATTTGATTGCTTAGTTTCTTCTTTATAGTATTTTTAGTTTTGTCATTTTTAAAAGAGAAAATAGGTTTACCTACAAAACTATCTCTACTTTTCCAAACTATTCAGAAAGCAAATAATATGACATTTAAATCATGTTCTATGACTTATTATGCTGAAGAATATATATGATTTCTGGCATGATAAAAGTTCAAAATTGTTAGAATGAGTGCAAGATTTTCCAATACTATCAATGTCATTGAGATTTAACAATATCTTTTAAGAAGCAAAAAACCAAAAAAAAAGAATAAACTTAATGTTTAATGATAAACAAAAAAGCAACTTTAGTAAAAAACACACTAATGTTATTTTAATGTTATTAAGGGCATATCATTTACAAAAAACATTCATCATAGAGTATTATATATTTTATTACAAATGGAACAGAATACTCAAATCTATCAAATATGGCCAGAGACTATCTTGCCATTCCAGATTTATAATACTTTTTGTTCCATGTAAAAATTTAGCTCTCTAATAATATATTAATCAATCAGAGTAGCTGATCTTGGATTGTCAAGAAAGCTTAGAGAGATTAAATTATCATAGTTTAAATTTATAATAATATTTATAGCAACAAATGCATTAAACTATATAGAACAAAATACCCAAATCTATCAAATATGGCCAGAGACTATTGTTAATCGAATAATCATGTGACCGACGATCATGTTACGAATGTTGCAAATGTTACGAATGTTCGATATGTTTAACATATGCAACATATTGAACATAGTATAGCACATATTTAATATATTTAACATATAACACTTATTAAACATGTAGCATTTATACAATATATTAAACATGATCAGCATAGATTTTATTGTTATAAATATATGCGTTCCAAATCAATGGAAAAACAAGTAATGTGTCTTAAATTTAACAAAGCATTTATTAAAAGAAGTTATCTAATCATTGTTTATTTTTGAGTTTTGTTCTAATGTGAATCAATAATTGCGTCTGAGAGTATATGCTAGTGTATGCATTACCGTATTCGCATTTCATTTATTTTATTGTATTACATTTAAATTGATCGACAGTGATATATTTATTAATATTTTAATATACTTTATTTCACTACGCGTTTATTAACATTTATTATCATTTCTGCTTACCATATACATATACGCTTATTTTTATAAGCATTTAAGAACTGGCATAACACTATCTTGCCATTCCAGATTTATAATACTTTTTGTTCCATGTAAAAATTTACAGTGGTGAGCAAAATTATTTGGAAATATCACGTGACTTAAATCACGTGAAAATGATCACCCAAATTACACAATAAAATTGAAACACATTTAATATAAACCAGTAATACCTCTTTTATGTAACTTTTTCACATGGCACACCGTACAATTTTCTTTCCAGAGAAATGGTACAAAAAGTAAGGGTTATAACAAAAAAACAGCAACGTGAAGTAATTTTATGTTTATGGAATGAGGGAGTGTGCAATGCAAGCGAAATTCAACGTCGCACAAGTATAGGGCTCTCTACAATCTACTACAACTTAAAAAAGTTGGAGAAAACAGGAGATACGGCCCAAAAACCTGGTCAAGGCCGACCTAAGAAAATCACTGATATTGGAGCAAGAGTTATAGGTCAACAAATTAGGCGATATCCTACGGTTTCGACCAATGATTTAACTCTAACATTATTAGAAAAGGGGATAACGGTCTCTAGACATACAGTTGGAAGACATCTTCATAATTATGGATACAAAAATTCTCTTCCCCTAGCTGTTCCAATGCTTACGGCTAAACAAAAGCAAAAAAGGGTTGAGTGGGCCAAAGAACATCTTAATAACAGATGGAAACGGACTTTATTTACGGATGAGACGTCATTTCAATTGTTCAGTAATACTATTACTCAATGGTATAAAGGTAAACGACCGGTTAAGCCCATCCCAAAAAACCGACAAAAAATTCATGCATGGGGTGGTTTTTCAGCTTACGGTAAAACAAGTCTTTTTTGTTTTACTGGCATTATGGATGCCAAATATTATGTTAGAATTCTTGAAGAACAACTCCCAGAAGTTAGAGAAATGATGGGAAACAATTGGCGATTTCAACAGGACAATGATCCTAAACATACGAGTCATTTAGCAAAGAATTTTCTTCAAGAAAATGTTCCAGCTGTAATGGATTGGCCAGCCAATAGTCCCGACCTAAATCCCATCGAAAACTTATGGGCATTGACAAAGAGAAATGTGGAAAAAAGACAACCTAAAAATTTGGATGAATTAGAATTATTTATGATTGAGGAATGGCATGAAATTTCAGATGAAATTATAAATAATTTGGTCAGGTCGATGAAAAAAAGATGTGAGGAAATTATTAGGGTAAATGGAGAGAGAATAAATTTTTAATTATATATAATTTTATTTCATAATATTGTACTTTTAAATAAACCAAACTATTTGCAAATACAATCACTGGTTGTTGAGTAAATTCACTTTAAAGTTTTCCAAATAATTTTGCTCACCACTGTAGCTCTCTAATAATGTATTAATCAATCAGAGTGTCTGATCTTGGATTGTCAAGAAAGCTTAGAGAGATTAAATTAACATAGTTTAAATTTATAATAATATTTTATCAACAAATGCATTCAACTATATGGAACAAAATATCCAAATCTATCGAATATGGCCAAAGGCTATCTTGCCATTCCAGATTTATAAGATTTATAATAATTTTTTTTCATATAATAATTTAGCATTTTAGTTATCTATTAAAATGTTACGATTAATGTAAATGATTTTTAGATTTCTTAATTTATTTGTTTTTTTTTATTACAAAATGTTTAAATAAAACTTTTATAATTAATTCTCTACCTTTATTTTTATATTTAAATTTGCAAAAAAATTGAATTTGTTTTAAGTTTTAAATTTTCTTACGTATTTAGTAATGATTAATTACTAAATGTTCCTATCGTCACTATTTTCGAACTGGTGTGTTCTGCGAATTGCAAATCGAAACATAAGATACACAAAAAAATAAAGATAAAATACTTATAAAAATTAATATATTATAAATAATACGAAATTGGAAACTCGACAGTGATTCTCACTTTCTGTGAGTTCGAGATTAATTTGTGATTTTGGTCTTAAATTTAACTCGAAATTTTTTTATCGTTTCTCTTGTAGAACCGACAAATGTTAATAAAAGATTTAACCGTACTAAACTATGGCGAGCCGCATTAATTTCGGTTAGGATAAGTATTATTCTATTTTATTATCTTTTTTTTAAGTTGATTCGTAAAACTTTATTAATTTTATTATAGACTGCCGCTCTAAGTGCCAATTTAGTGGGAGCTAATAGGGTTAATTTTGATTGATGGTGAATGGAAACCAAGATAGGTGCTATTTAATAATATTCCGAGATCTACGCAAATATTCATTTCTATTTTTTAATGTTATTAGTCATGCGGAACAAGCCATTGGCAGGGTAAACAAAATATAGTTACTTGTGAATATTGAAAGTTTGATTTTGTGGTTATTTATTTTTTCTTAACTTAGACATACCGATATGATCTGTATTCGTTTATTGATTGTATAACGGCTGAAACATTTGAAGATAAATTATTCAACAATTCAGTGCATAAAATGAGATTATCGTAAGTTTATATACTAATTTTATCCTTTTTTTTAAGCAATTAATTCTCAAATTTAATTATTATGTTATATATATAGTCGAGTGGTAGATCAGAAAAATCCAGAGAGAAAATTCACGAGAGAAGATCTTAACGCGAGAATGTTTATCGCACCCGATCCTAATACGAAGACTAAACTACCAGAGCATATTAACTATGAAAATGATGTACTGGTCATTGTTACTAAAAAGTACTTTTTTATTATATTTTTTCTTTGCCACATTATGTTGTTCTTTTTACTAACGCCAATATAAAATATTTATGTAAATTATATGATGTCGTAGTTAGCCGAAAAACGGAGCCGAATTCCTGATTGCCGATCATCCGGACCCGGTTTAATCGTAGAAAATCCCTGGAATTCCACGACAATCTACGCCTGAGCAGGGTCCGGATCACGTTGCGGCTAATTATTTTTCGACTAACTACACCATTATAAATTAATAAAAATTAAGATATCGAAATAATATTATTGATATTCAGAGGGTTGCGTCTTTCTTTATTGATGATTCTTAAAATTTTAATGAAGAGGATCAAAGATATGCTCAGCAATTATTAATTGTGCAAAATTACAAAAATTAATAGTTTTTGTGACATGACACACTATTTTGTAAATCCATCTAATTAATAATTTACATTTGGGCATATTGAATGAATTTTTTTAATATACGTTTAAATATGACTCATAAAAGAACAAAAGCAAATTAAACGGAGTTTTAGGTATTTATAATCTTAATTTGGAATCAATAGATCACATGATCAAATCAATCGGTCATTAGGACCTAATGGGGTTAAGATATCCGCATCCGACATCGATCTATACTCTATAAAAACTATAAAGACATTTAATCGACTAACAATAACACAATAACATTGACGATCATTTCATTTATTATAAAAGCCAACCATTCAACCATTCGCAACTTTATAATTTTTTTTTTTTTTTTTTTTTAACAGTTTGANAATAACACAATATCATTGATGATCATTTCATTAATTATAAAAGCCAACCATTTCGCAACTTCATAAATTTTTTTTTTATTTTTTTTTTAACAGTTTGATTTCGACAATGGAAATACCAAAATATAACGGAACTTGCCATCCTAATGAATATGTTAAACAAATGCGTGCATATTGTAAAATAAATCGAATTACGAGTGAACTTGATATACTTGAATTATGCATTTTAATGATAAATTCAAGTATTTATATTCCGGAAGACATTTATAATTTGGATAAACTTATTAAAGTACTTAGTTCACATCCAACCTTTAGCATTTTTAAAGATTCCTGTAAAAAAAAATTACAAGTAATGAAATATATTCCCGAGAAAGAAGGAAATTACACTGCAACATTCCTTGCCGATTTTCGTTCACTTTGTAATGATGCGGAAATTTATGATCATAAAGAAATTAAAAATTTACTTTTTAATACATATTATTCATCAAATGAATTCCCAAGAAATGAATTCTCAAGAAATGAATTCTTGAAAAGTGTGAATGGTGTTAATTCGAAAGATAAAATATTTAAAGCGTTTAGCGATGTTTTCTTTGACGAATTAAAAGTAGTTAAATATGGTTCTTTAATTACTTTAAGACATGTTTTAACAGGAAAATATTTATCTAGTTGTAAAATGAAATACGAAACAGGTTCTAAACAGCAATTAGTATGTATAAAATTTTTTATTATTTAATTTATTATTACATTATTCAATTTTACATTTTTTATTTTAGGTATTTGCTGGTGAAAGAACCAATGAAAAATCAAAATTTTCATGGTTATTAAATTCTTGTAATTCTTATCAAACTGATAAAATATTTTATGGCGATGACATATATTTAACTAATAAAGCAACTGGACATGAGCTATATATAGAAAGATTTTATAAATCTCCAACTGGATTTACAGAAGGTAATTTATTTATTACATAAATATTATTTAGTATTAATTATTAATTATTAACTAATTATTTTGTATTTTATAGTACATTGTAGAAGTGATTATTATTATTCCGCTTTACGTTGCAATACAACAAAACATAATAATACACCCTACGTGAAGACCGGTGATATAATTACTTTAAGAAGTTCAGATTTTTCTTCGGATTATTCCAATGAAACTGAGAACTTTGATTATCCAGATAATTATATTTTATCTAGTCATAATTCCAGATTTGGAATTGGGAATAGAACTTTTCAAGAAGTCGTTGGACATAAGGGAAGATTCACTGAAAATGATGAGGTATTTTATATTTAATAATAATAATTATTATTATATAATATATTTTTTTAATTTATTAAATATCTGATTTTAATATTTATTTTATACAGTGGCAAATTGAATTTATTGAAAATAATTATAATATTTAGAAATATTTTCATACAAAACAAATTAATTTATTAACTTAATCATATATTTATATAATTATTTTACTTACATATGTATTACAAATCATATCATTAGAATAAAAATTAAAATTATTTTTTAAAATTATTTTTTACCTTTTTTTTTCTCAAACTTTTTAAATATGGAACTACCAAAATATACTTATATCGTTCATCCTGAAGAATGGTTACAAATTTGTTATTTAAGAGAAATTAAAAATAAACAAAAAATTTTCAAAAATTGTAAACTATTAAATCATTTAAATTACATACCATTTTTTTACAGTTTCTTGTAAATAAAATTTTAATCAATGAAATATTATGAAATTTTACTTCTATATTTGAATGATCTTTTATCATTTATAATAATGCCGAAATTACACTCATTCAAGCGAATATTTTAGGAGTGATTTTTGAAAGAGTAGATACTTATTTAGTAGATGAAATATTTAAAGTATTTTAGTGAAGTTGTATTAGATGATTTGCAAATGTTTTATTTTATTTTTTTTCTTTTTAATGTACGTGATACTTTATTTAACGATGAATTCATGTCATACAAATACGGCCACAGACAAGGGATAAATAGGTATATCGTGTTTCTATAAAAGTATTAAATTGTTTTTCGCACTGAATTATAAATGAAGTGATGATAGTTCCGACTTAATATTATTAATACTCTTGATTTTATATGTAAATTTATGGAAAAGTTAAAAATATTAGATTACTATTTTTTGACGATGGTAAACGTTTTAAAAAAAATATATTCAATTTTATCGAATATTTAATGATTCTCGATTATGTAGCATAAATATTTATAAATTGTGAATTATCATAAAACATTTAAATTTGCAAAAGAATTAACAAGTGGTATAAAGTGCTTACATACGTCGAGATTTATAATCTTCAAACACATGATAATTTTTCGCTTTGTACAATGTTTTAGATCGTGAAAATATCATTAAAATAGCTGATTTAATTTAAATAGGATAAAATGAACCATGCTTTGCATACGTTAATCTACAATAGAGTATCATTTTTAGAAAGAAAATATTACAAAGACAATATATTTTTGTAAAGCATCGTATATGTAATGATTTCATCACAATCCAGAATCATTTTATCAATGAATAATTGAAAGCGACCTTTCCTAATAAATATAAAAATTATTGGAAATTACAATTGAGCTTAAGACATCATTGTAAAGAGGTCATAAGGTTTGCTCAAATTTTGTAGATTATTCCTTTTTTGATAGTGCCGGCCAGAGTTTATAGACATTATCGTAATTCCGGCCCTGAAAAGTTGCTTATTTTTAAATCTCGCATTCTTTTATATGTCTTTTTACGAAAATAATAAAACTAACACAAGATGACAAGAATAACATCGATTTCATTTTCCGGTGATAATCTATATAAATGTCTTCCGATCAGCAATAATGTAAAATTGTATAAGAAGCCCGATATACTGTAGTACGTTGTAGTGTCATAATTTATATTAACCCACTCGTAATAATATGTGGCGCAGTATTGAAATAATTAATGATCTCATGATGTAGATCAAAACAAATCTAAATCATAGACCCACATGGTGATAAAGGAGTAACTTTTAGGGGAAATTTAGGGGGTTCTTACGTTCTTGCATTCTTAGATTCTTACATTTAATTAATCTTTACATTATAATTATTTTCACAAAGTAATACTATTTAACCTAGTAAATTTTATATTTTATAACCCAGGATTCATGTCTTATATTTTAATGTAATAATAAACCAAGCAACGCATTTTATTTAATAAAATTCTTATTTTATTTAATTTTAAATCAACGTCACTTGTCGTAGAAAAAGGTGGCAACTTTTCTCGTATAGCAACGTACTTAAAAAATTGAAAAAATGAATAGAGAATTAAGAGGAATGATGATTATTGTAATCGAGTCAATTATCAGGATTGTATCCTCAGTTTTAGGTGATTATATTTACAATAATAAACCTTAATATATTAGAAAATAACTAAATATCTCAATAAATTATATTCTTATTTGTTATTTGTTAGCAACCTATAATGCTATCACAATGACTGAGAGTCCTTACGCAATTTTTGATCTTATGTAAGTATCAAATATAATAATTCGTACTTTTGTTAAATCATTTATTTTTTTCTTAAGAACTGAATTTAATCATTAATATGACATAATGCATTATTACATACTTAAAGTTGGATTGGTGTAATGTGGGTGCACATTATTTTATATATTATTGGATACATGTACCGTAATCCAAATATGAATATAAGAAAAATGAGGTAAATGTTAAGTTCATTATGATTTTTAAATAATATCTGACATTTAATATATTTTAATTAAATTTTTTAATGCTGTAATATCAGAACAATTTCTATCATGTTAATGATATTTTTTAGCGGATGCGAAGTAACACTTGTAGGTGAGTAAATTTTATCAAAATCAGTTTGAGTTGAAATTTGAAATTCTCTCTAAAATGAACACCTTTTTTTTATAAATTATTAGTTTTAACAGCTAGTTTAGATAACATAGTTATTATAATTGATAGTGTTTTAAAAATCATTATAACTGGATGGGGTTTATTTAAATTCATTCTCACTATTTGTATCTTAGTTTATACCTCAGCTAAAAGAAGTGAAACACAACCGTTAATAGCAGAAATAGGAATAAATGAAAGTAGTAATAGAGAAATTGAAAATATTTGAAAATATTATCATTTGATTATACTCCTATCCATTCTGATACAAAAAACAATTTTTTTTTATTAAATTTCTTTGATAAAACTAGGTGATTGGCTAAATATTATTTTTCAGAATTTGTATATTTAAATGCTTGTTGCACACGTCATAAATGATATTTTCAGTATCATTAATGGTTACGCCGGCTTAGAATGTCTGTTGGCATCGTTATGTATGGAATATTCTGCCAATGAAAAATCTCTTGAATTTGATAAGTCATAAGTGGAATGAACTTTTCACAGAGTTTCAGTCAGATCCAACGAATCAACAGATTAAGGCGGTTAATCATATTGAAAAATACCTTTCAGATTCTATATATTCAGTTTTGTAAAAGGACAAACCATCGCAATGAACCCACAATAATGATATATGAACCTAATACGTAAAATTCAGATTTCATGTATATTCAGTAAATATAAAGAAAAGAACTGTATTTTTATATCTACCGGCGTATTTAATTATTATTATTATTCCTTATACGCTGCACAAGTTACTCTATTTACAAATTACAGAAATATTTTGCTAACGAAATATATGCATATTTTTTTCGAAAAGGATTTAAATCTATAGTTCAAATTTTGAAATTTAATTTGGTGAAAGAAAAAAATGTATTGGATGAGAAAATATATACAATGTTAATGGTAGACTCTTTTATATTCTATGTTTATATAAATCTTGCTAAAGCTAATACAAACGCGTTCTAACTTTATATATTTAGTTCTTTTCTTGCTAATAACTTAAACTTAAGACGATTATACATATTTAAGTAGTAATCTTTCTGAAATTGTAAAATACAAATGCGAAAAGCTCAAATATTCAATTGTGTCATTACTTAAGCAATTAAAATGATACTATATATCATACTTAATTCCACAATCTATATACACATTTCATAATCGCACGCGCTTATTTAATTGATTCTGCATATTATAATAGACAATTGCTTTTAGCCTTATTTCTACTTTATGCCAATTTATAATTTCCATCACTCTTCAATACCTTTCCTTGGAATCAGTTTAATATAAATATCATTTCTTGCCATTAAAATAAATTTTTCATCTCCACTAACTCTATTTAATGGCATGGCTAATTCAACATGAAATCTTTGCATAATAAGACATACCATTAATTTAATCTCAACCATTGCTAATTTTTCCGCCGGACAAATTCTATCCCCAAATCCAAATGGACAATGATTGAAAGGTGCCTTAAGTTGATTAAAAGAGGGTTGTGATGCATCAAATTTTTGTGAATCGCACTCAATATGTATATCTTCGTGAGTTACTGTTATCGGATAAAGTACTACAGTGCCCGCCTGAAGATTAAGTGGATCATTCATTGTTTCTAAATCCGTATTTTTTTCAAGATAACGAGACAAGATTGGAATTGGAGGACATATTCTCAACGATTCCTTGATAACTTGATTAAGAAAATTAAGGTTCAACAAATCTAAATATTTTTAAAAAAAAATTGATTTAGTTTAAGATTTGTGAATTTATTAAAAAATTTCAGGTACATATGAAGTTAATCATTTAATGAGCAACAAAAGTAAGAAATTACATACCGTGATATAATGGTAACTGTCCTTTCAAATTATAATCGATTTCATTTTGAATTTTGGTTTGAACATTCCGGTCTTGTGTTATGCAGAAGATGGTCCAGGAAATTGCAACTCCCGTCGTAAGATATCCACAAGTTAAGAATAATGACATGATATCCTTGATCTAAAAATAAAAAATTTTTAACGATTTTTCAAATGACGAAAAAGAATCAAACAAGGATGGGATCTGGGACGGTACCTTTTCATCTTCAAAATTTTTACCGGTTTCAGGATCTTTTTCTGAAACTAAAAGATCAAGTAAATCTTTTCTTGGTGGTAATATAGTATTATTCACACCTTGAATAGTACTTGCAATAATCCTTTTTTTCTCATCGATCAAAATGCATAAAACCTGAAATAAATGTTTGATAGAATTCTGAATCTTTTCGTCCCGTAAATTACTTAGCACATTAAATTGTTTATCAAATAAGCCATTGATAACATCATCGTAAGCTTTTTTGTAAGCTACTAGATCAAAATCTTGTGGCAAATTTACACTATAATTTAAAACATATTGAATTAAAAAAAGTCTTTAAAAAAAAATTAAGTTTTTAATTAAACATTACCCAAATAAAGCTTGTATCGTTGCCTTTAGGGAAAATTCGAGACCTTGATCTTGCATTCTGACAACATTTTCATGTTTTAAAACAATACTTTTTTCCCAATTATCAACGATTTCAACTCCAAAATTTCTCATATCATGATACTTGTCTATGATAACTAAATCAGAACAATTCATTTAACTAGTTTCATAATGAAAAATTAATAAGTAGTCAATAAATAATATAATAATTTACCATCAACAGACAGGGCAGGATCGAAAAAACTCCTATATATTTTAGCTCTATCAGCACTAAAAACATACAAATTATCTTTACCCCAAATAGGTTCAAGAAATTTGTACATATTTCTAGGCCTGTCACCAATATTAAGACTTGATCTAATAGTCATAGGATCAATAACAGAAATGGTATTTATCAAAGGTAAATCTGTTAAAACACGTCCATGCTTAAGATGTTTTTTACGTAAATAAGGTATCAAGCCAATCTTTTTAACTTTATCAGGAATATGGTCTGGATGACAAGATATTAATAGTTGTTTAGTTGGGATATTTTTTACATTTTTAACAGGGGATTCGGTAATTTTTTTATCGCTAACAATAATAGCAGGAGGAAATGAAGGTGGATAAAAAGTTTCATAGAACAAATATAGATATAAAGCGCTAACAATGATTATAACGAATAAACCGGAAAAAGCTAAAAAGTCTTGTAAAGTGATTTGTAAGAAAGTCATTTTTTTTTTTTGTTATTATAAAAAAAATTGAAGAGAAAAAGAAATGATTCTATTGTGTGAGAATAAATTGCAAAAAAAACAATCAGTTTATGTAAAATCTTACCATGTCACCGCGTGATGTTTATGTCACATATTCACGACTTCACGTGATGACGCGTTTTGTTAAACATATTTGTCACCGAATAATATATCACCACTATATCACCGGTGTATCACCTGTGTAACTTGTGACGGGCAAAACCAATGAGTTCACCAGAGATCTACGTACAAATTTTCGAAAATAATGACGAAAATTATCAAACTTTTTCTAAGTAAATTGTACAACGATCAATATAATATAATCTTCAATAAAATGAAATGATGATTTGATACGAGATTTGATTTTTCGGCAAGTATTGAAAATGAATTAGCATGTTGACACATGGAAAATTTACATGGACTTGTGAATAAGCTTTTCTCAAATTTGGTGATGTTCAATGTGAAAAGATCAATAGATAATTTATTGCTGTTGTACAGCCTTATGAATTCCACTAATAAGGATATATTAACATCACTCATGTTATTTATTATTTGTTTATGATATAAAAGTTATGTCATTCAATTTCTGGGATTCTTAATTCAAAATAATATCAACCACGTTCAATTTTTTTACAAATTGATATCGATATACTGATATTCGTTCAATATACCGATAATTTTCCCATTATATTAGATAAAGTAAATATCGTTATGTCGGAATTTAATTGACCTTTTGAAAATAATATACTTTTTACTGAAATTTTTTTTTTCAAAAAAAAAAATTTCATTTTATTATATCTTTTTAATTTCATAACTTCTTGTTTTATCTTTTTTAACAGTTGTTCTAAACATAAATTTTTAAATTATGCCTAAACTTTAGATATTTATCTGTTATTGATTTTTAAAATAAAAAAGTACTCAACAAATGTTGAATTTTCTTTATTATACAAGAAATTTGGAAAATTAAACCATTTTAATCTTTTTAATACAATGAGGTAAAATAATATGAACCATAAATATTTATAAACAAGGTTTACTTTAATTAACAATAAATAAATAATGTACAAGTATTGGTATAGTTCAAATTAAAAAAGAAAAAAATAATTGTTTGATCATATTTCCCAAGATTTAGTATTCACTTTAATCTCCCTTATATGACAGATCATCCGTGAATGGTAAATAGGTTGATTAACCAATTTTTAAAACCATTTCGATGCCACCACAGGTTGATCAAACTTTGGTGACTAAGTATTTGTGGTGTTAAAGGTGGTATTCCCATCAATTTTGCAACAAACTCAACACAGTAACTATTCGTTGAGTACGCAGACTGTAATCCGGCAACGACTATCAAGATCGCAGCTCCAACACCACCCAATGCTCAGATGAGATAACCACGCATTACAAATATTCCTACGAATGTTGCTACACAAATTGATGTATATACTATAATAAGAAACCACCCAACAGCAGGTTCAAATTCAACACAGTTAGTATAATCAACATTTTTCCAATCAGTTATAATAAATCCACATGTAGGTAATTTTGTAGAGGCATGAATATTTTCTCGAAAACTGGCCAAACACATCCTATCATTTATAGCATCAAACGGAAACCACTATTCCCACACACGAACTATACCCCATAGCATTGTCATGAAAGCAACTATTAGTGCCAATAATCTTGATATTTCTTCGTATCGATGGTAACGATCATATATTTGATTTGATTCTCTATTTTGATCATCATCTTGATGATGTGATTCTTCATCTGTGTACTGAGGACTTTTTCCCCTGATCGTTTTAAAGAACGTTTTCCACCTGCCTCTAAATCCTTTTCTTCCATCTTCACGGGTAAGTTTAATAATATTAAATCCAATTGTCAAAGGTAAGTTGAAAGGCATATTAAATGCCACACTCATTGGACCTAAGTACACGTCATAGAGATATTACACTACTTATAACAGCCCATAATGCTGACACAAGACTGAACCTGTTCCACTTATACGTTGGATACAGCATTAACATGTTGAAAGCTAGGACAGTTACGCTTATTGGCCACGGAGTAAGTTGGCTATTTTCATGAGGTATTAATACATTGCCTCTAAATGCGACTCCTTTAAAGTATGATCCACTGTTATCTGGATACATTATTAGGATAATTATTTAGTAGTATTTTTTCGATAAATTGAACATTGATTCCTTAATTATGAATTGAAGTTTATTTAAGTTATTGTCATATCATTAGTTCCGCACGTAACCAGACAATTATCACAGATTGACAATCTTATTTATAATAAAAATAATGTTAATAAATAGTTCTCACATAATAGTTTCTTTAATTAAGCATTATCAATTAAGTTTGAGTTTTCTCCGCTAATTTTACAATTACATCATAATTATTAGCTTTCACGTTAGTTTTATGATTATAAAAATTTCTGTACATTCTTAAATTGATAATATTGGCATTTTGATTTAAAAAAAATTTTTTTTTGAGAAACGATAAACAAACCAAATTAAGAAATATATTCAAAACCTGTTAATCCTGTTTATTTATCTCTCTCTTTCTCGATTTGGAATTATTAAAAATAAATCAGCCATGCATAAATCATGCCGTGACTATTTCCTAAAAGAGAGTATATTTTTAGCCAAATAAAAACATAACTCATTATAAAAAGTAGAATCAACTTATTTTTAGTATTCAATCTTTTTTTTTTTATTTAGTCGGTTTCTTTGTTTGTTGCTTATGCAAATAATATAATATAATTAATTATTTAAATACTTTCAAAAAAATCATTTTAATATCGTTTTTGATATCATAATGATATCATAATATAATTTTATTGTTATGATAAAATGATAATTTTAACAATGTACCTAGCTACGATAATCTTAAATAATATCAAAACGAGATAATTAAGATATTTTATAATGATATCTTATCAATATCATATTAACGACCAATATCATTAGAATTTTTTATAATTATACCGAATTGACCTCGAATGATAGCCCCATTGAATTTCTACTGGTTAATTAATAATAAATAAATATTATTTGTATGTTATTAGACTGGGCGTCAGGCATTTCTGATATTTTGACGCCCAGTTAAATAACATACTAATATTAAAAACTACTTAATACCAATAAATAACTTGTAACCATAATTTATAGTTAACAGCTTTCACAATGCTAAACTTTTTTTACCGTTTCACAAGAAAAATTCCAGCCGATCTGAATATAATCCGTCTATGTATTGTATTCCTATTTATATTAACGATTTTTAATAGTATCTAATATAAGTAAGTAATCACCGGGGGTGATCATCATCGTTGGCCAGAATTATCAATTTTTACCGGAACTATATTTTTTAATGCTGGTCGATCGTCATAATTTCAGTCACCGGCGATCATCTCCCTCCGGTGATAGTTAGCAAAATTCTATAAGTAATATTGTAAGATAAATTTTTTTGAAAAAAATAAAAAAAAATAAAAAACTCTTGACAGAATATTCTAATATAATTAATGATTTTTACAAATCATCAAAGATTTTTTTGACAGTAAAACCAGTACAAGAATTAAATTTTTTTTTTAAAAAATCACAATCTTTACAGCAGCAGCATCCATGTAAATAATCCGTTATGAATAAATTATTTTTATTTGGTATTGATAGCGGCGAACTGGAACGATGATCTTAAACTAATTAAGATAATTGTGCGACAGTGGAACTAATCACGAGTGAATATAGAGTGTATGTAGTTCTTCGTTACTCCGGACTACTGTAATTATTTAAAGATCGAAAATTTGTCTATTAGTTTGCAATATATTATAATATAATAAATTACTTTAAATAAATTACTACGCTTATCAATCAATAAAATATTAATGCTCATCAAAGCTCAAGAATTTTAATATTGTATTATGTTCAGTTATAAAGTTGCACAATAGACCAGTTCACATCGCAGAACTTCAGCAAAAGCTGGTAACCATCGGCATCGCTGTACTACACATACCAATACCGCCATCACCAGCCACCATGTACAAGAATGGAAAGGGAGAGATAGGGCAAGGATTAAGGCAATGTAGTAGGATAAGGGTGAAAGAGAGAAATTAGATGAAGAATTAGGGTAAAAGATTAGGTCAGAGTAAAGAGAAAAAATGAATGAGTTTGATTAAAAAAAATAAGAAAAAATCGTATATTATTTTTTAGTCGTATAAATTAGTCTGTATTTGAAAAAATCTTGTACAGTATATGAAAAAACTCGTATATCGTGAAAAATAATTTATTTATCATTTGAGATGTGCAAGCTTTTTTTCATATTCACAATTATAACATGTTAGACTTCTATTTTCTAACTAAGAGAGAATACATATAGTTGAGATATTTGCTACATAATTTATTGTCAGGCTAAATACGTTTTAAGAATTCTTTATTAAAAATAACAAATAATAAATAAATGAGTTTCGTGTTGAGTGTTGATAAATTAAATTTTAAATTACAACTAGCAGTGACATGTTGTTTCGCACCAGGACCAATCAATAAATATTGATAAATTATGTGCTTTTAAAATATATAAGCAGATCATTTATCGGTATTTTTTCAAAAAAAAATTTTTAGAGCTAAAAGGCTTTATTATTTTTTTTTGTTATCTACCAACAGTCCAACGGATCAACTTTTATTTACAGGGGTGTTCTCAAACAACTCAAATGATAAATTGATAAGTGATCTGATCAACCAAAAAAGTATCAGTAAGGTTCAAAGAGTTTTGAAAAGCTTCCTATTTTAATTAATAACAAGCAAGCTAAAACCATTTTTTTCTTCAAATGATCTCAATGATTTTCTATTGACAGAAAATTCTTGATTATCATTTAAGTTTATATTATTTCACTTTTAACGCAAGAAATTTTTAATAGCCTTTTAACTTTTACTCAAGCCATAATTATCATAAAAAAAAAATAAAAAAACCTGTTGCTTAATGCCAAGCTATAAAAAAGATATTCTCTGTGATACTTGAGCATAAATAACATTACTATATCAAATTGAAGGAGACCTTTGGGCGATATGATTAAATCTGCAATGCTTATAATGTCTACAAGAAGTTCAAGATGCCAGTCTATAATTGCAGAAATTGGTAAATATAGTGCAACTATATAATGTAAATATATAACTATAATAAGAAAAAATTAATAATTATGCTCTACTTCGTTACTATTTAGAACTAAAAGTCTGCATTGACCACTATTTTACAACCCAGCCCAGCCCGCACTTGGAAATTACAGCTGTTTTCATAAGACCTAGGACAAAATAAATTTTTGAACCTGACCCACCGATCCAGTTCAGTTGTTATTTATATCAGGATCATGTGCCCAGCTAAAAATACCGGATCGGCGAATCGGCGGATCGGGTTCAAAAATTTAGTTTGTCCCAGGTCTTATGAAACCAGCTGTAACATAAAGTGCGCGGCCCGGCCCGGCCCGGACTTAAAATATTAAAAACCCAACCCGCACCGGACCCGGGCTTTTATTATATCATTTTGTTGTAAAAACAAAAAAATCGGCCAACTTAATTTTGGCCAGTTTAATTTCGGCCGGAATTAAGACGATTTTGGCCAGAATTACGAAAATCTGGGTTCAACGAAAATTCATGTACCGGCCCGGACCCAGCCCGGGTGAATTTTGAAGAAAGTTTGCCCGCCCAAACCCGGATTAGGGTCCGGGCCAGGTTAGGGTTTCCGGGTTCCGGGTCCCGTTTGTAGACCTCTATTTAGAACTATCTAATCGTCATCAAAAATCTATATATCTTTTAATGGTAATTATTTATTTAAGATTATTAACTAAAATAATTTTAAGCAAGTTTGACGACAATCAAATTGAAAACAGTTTTAATAAAAGTATGATAAAAGTCAAAATTTTATATATCAACGCCATTCAATATTTACTAATTAAATAAAATATTTCCAGACAAAATTATTAAAAAGATTAAATTAATCGAAAATGAAAATAATGGTAAAATATTTTGCGTAATTACAATAAATATGATTTATGCTTCATTAAATTAATTTTTTTTTTGTTTTTGTTTGTTTAGATTATATTATGAAAGAATTTGAATTAGATATTGATACAAATTCTGAAAAACGCGCTCAGAAAAGCAAGGAAAACGTTCAGTCAAGAAGCGAAGAAGTTAATCTTGAAAGCGATAGAAAGGAAAAGACAGAAGGTGGGAGGAAGACGAGCAATAATGGGTCATACTCTCAATAATTGGTCACGTGATATCACGTAAAAATTTTTCTGATAAATAATAACATAAAAAAGAGTGCGACAGAGACCAAGGACAGTAAGGAGTGATTGTGATTTCAGACTGACGACCCCTCCCAAACCAACCGTACCATTGCACGTCAAATTGCTTTAATTGTTTTATTATCTTAGTGTTTAATATAGGGGTTTTTGATTAGTTTAGACTGTGGGATTTTACTAGAAAACCAGACCGTAATTTTAGTAATTTTGTTTGGTTCTATAATACCCTGGAGCACAGTTTTCTTTTCTGTCTTTTTTTAGTGTTAGGTTTTGTCTGTTAGACTTTTTATTTTTTTTTCTTTTCGTATTTTATTTCTGTTTTCATGGGAGAGTATGGAGATTATTTATTGCGCTTAAGACATTGCATGCCTAGTACATATTATAGAAGCAATCCCTTTGCATATATTTAGATTACACTTTGCTATAGAGTCGCATAACCTTTTGGTCTGCGATTCTAGGTATTTCCAATATGTACTCGTTTTAAGTTTAATAAAGAAATGCATTGCAATTTTTTTTTTAAAAAAAAAAATTCTAAAAAACGCGTCGACAATGAAAGTAAGTAATTATAATATTGTTGAAAATTCTGTATCATCTTAACCTAATTTCTTTAAATTGAAAATACAGGTTATATTACACATGAAATTGATTTTGATATTTGAAATGTCGGTATTTTTTAAAACTTATTAAAGTCCAACATTTATACTTTTTTTTAATATTATATATATTAGTTGAACATCATATAAATTATTAAAAAATAAATTTATTATTATTTTAAATATAGCAAGTTTAAATCAGTTTAATCTAAAAAATATGATTATGAAAAACTATCTTATAAAAAGCGCCAATTATAACGAAATTTTTCAAAAATTTTTTAGCATCATTTTTTCAAATAAAATATTTGTTTTCATTGTATGACATTATGGGATCCCACTAGTTCTTCTTTCTGTTGTAGGAAAAAAGGACAAAATTCTTTTATAGGGATAAAGTCCATTTTTGTGTTGCTAAACCATATAAAAAAGTAGATACGTTTTTATACTGAAAGATACATTTTGTATATTGAGAGGTACGTCTAGATACATCTAGATACTTTATGAGATACGGAAAAATGCACAATTCCGTATCTTGCAAGACACGTTTTGTATACGGAGACACTGAAAAAACATATCATGTGAGATACGGAATTGTGCATTTTTCCGTATCTAAAAACGTATCTAGACGCGTTTTTTATATTCCATCTTTTTTTTCCATAGTAAAAGGCTCATATTTCCGGAATTTATAACCTTATATCACGGAATTTATCGAATTATTTACATTTACTATGAATGGATCCGTGGAAGGCGGATTTTTTATAGAAATAACGGATAAAATTTTTTATAGGGCACAAATAAAATAGTTTATCAATCTAAATTAGAAATAGGATAGAAGCATTAAATAGTAAGTTGTTAAATACTAGTATTGATTATGCAACTTCAATAAATGAATTTCATGATGATATTTTAGGTGTTTAGCTGCTTTTATAATTTATAAAAAATAAATCATGATTATAATATTACTCCAAATTTTTAAAGTATGGATTGGATTTAAACTTAAATCTGCTAAACAAATTGCATAATAATTATCAATATTGAATATAATAATGATTACTTTATTGTAAAAATGGTAGAATAACACAATTATTTACTATATAATAATTAATAACTGATAAATAATCAAATATAAAATAAAGAATAAACAATAGAAATGTTAATCTTCAATTACACATTCAAAACCCTGAGTCTCTTGAACTAAAATTTCAGCAAGCTTGCGACTTGTATAATGTGCTTGTGGATGAGATTGTGTAATGGAAGAATTTACTTGTTCCTGTGATAAAGATTTGTTTGCAATAACAAATTCCAACATAACATCTTTTAATTGATTATCAATATTAGGTACATCAAATATATAATTTCCATCCCTGTTTATTCTATAGTAATCACTACATCTAATCCATTCAGATATAATATTCTCAAGCATTATTATAGTTGGTCTATTAGCAGGATTTGAATCCCAACATTTTTTCATTAAATCCACATAACATTTTGGAGTATTTTTTATAATTTCAGGACGTTCTCCTTTACAAATAATCAAGATCAGATCATGATCATGTGCTTCATATTTAAATGGGGGAATACCTGATGTAAATTCCCACATTATCATAGAAAAACTATAAATATCACTTGCTGGAGTATAGGGATTATATCTTAATATTTCAGGCGCCATATAAGGTAAAACTCCATAAATTTCATTATCAGAATCCTGTGAATCATTTACAGGTTTACATAATCCTAAATCAATAATAAATAATTCATTGTGATTATCTGACATTAAAATATTGCCATCATGTAAATCACCATGAGTTAAATTTGATTCATGAATTACTTTAAGTCCTAATATAATTTTTTTTAATAATTGTAACTTGTCTTGCCACTTAAATTTAATTATATCAGATAAGCATTTTCTCAAACTTCCTTTTTTTGCATAACTCATTACTACTATATAATTTAAGCTATTTGGATCTTGAGTAATTCCAAAGAATTGAATAAACTTTGAAAATGATTTTTTCTGACAGTTATAATGATATTTCCACTATATAAATAATAAAAAATTATTAAATTTTTGCAAGAGAAAATAAAATTTGATATTAAATAATATAAATAACATACCTCCTCAAGAAATTTATTATTTAAATTTGATGAACTATTAAGTGTTTTAAGAATAACCTCATAGCCTGTTTGAAAATTACATCTATTCCATTGTTTTTTGTCAAAATTCCAACTAAAAATAGGTCCATCTAACCAGATAGCTTTATGAATTTCACTGAATCCTCCTTTATCATAATAATTAA